CTAATGGTGCAGAAATAGGAATTAATCATAAAGAAATACAACAGAATTCAAAATAAAGCAGATAGTCAGTGGACTGGGAGATAGTAAAGAAATTAAAATAGTGCAGAAAACATGCAAAATGATGGTAACATGATACACAGAATGCCAAACAGAATGACTTAATGAGTAAGAGAAGAAAATACGGGAAGAGAGTTCTGTAATGCACAGTAACAAACTAATTTTGCTCAGGGAAAACAGAAAACAAAAACAGACCCGTGAGCTGTGCACTACCCTGTGAGGCTGCTGGGAGAACACCAGAGGCACTCAGTTATTCAACCTACAGCTTCCGTGCGCTGGCATCCCATGTTGACCCCGGGCACTTCTTGGCACTCCAGAAACTTGCTGGCGTTACTACTGCTTGTGCTGACGCACTGCTCTTTTCTGCAATAATGTGATGAAAGCCGAGGCCAGGCAAATCACATGAGGATTTTGCCAGTTGCAATTTGTGTTACGTCTATGAAAATTTTGCTTTATGCAGAATACTTTCAAGCCATATGGTATCATTTTCTGAGTTCCCTCCCAGTGTTAGGGTTTGAGCAGCATTTGCAGTCTTTCATTAAAGGTCTACATACATTTCTGTATTTTTCCAACTCATCCTGCAATACCTGACACGTGCATTTCCCTTTCCTTTGGATTAAAGAGCGAGGCAGCCTACAGGATGCTACTGGACAACTGCTCTTACTACTTTTAGATTTTTGGGGTTTTTTTTATTTGCTTATTAAAACACACGGTCTGTGGCACAGATTGAGTTACCTTTGACTTTTCTGTTGCATCCACTTGTGTAAAACGGGCAGTCATTTCCCAGGCAGTAAGATGCCTATTGATTCCTCTGATTACCTTCAACATTCATAAAAGAGTTTTGTTTTTTAGAGGCTTCTTGGTTTCTATGAAAGTCTCTCAGCTTCCAAGCTGTTCAGGTTCTTAATGCTTTTCCTTCTAACCCTACATGCTGGTATCACTCAAAAGAACTGACCTACTCTTCACATGCTTCTTAACTTTACCTCAGAGTTCCTGAAACCTAAATGTCAAGATTACGATAGAGAACTAATTTCAGCTAATAGCCTGTGGTACTATTTTCTTGGTACTATCAGAGTCACCTTCAGCAGTGATGCTGTACAATAGGAAAGGTTAGAGATTTCAAAAGCATCTCATAAAATCTGTACATCTTAAATTCCAGCCCATTCTGTCTGAACAAGGAAAATAATTTTTTCAACAGCAAACCATTTCTTCAAGAATACATTAATACAAATGTAAAAAACAGCATTATTCTACCAGCTATTTCATATCACTGCAGTTGGAGTTCCTGTTCAAAGTGATCTGTTCTCTCAACTGTGACAGGCATGCACAAAGTTATACATTAAATTAATCAAACACAAATAAATCCCAGTGTCTATTCAGTTATTTACAAAGTGCTGTATGTAGAAGATCTTTCTAGACCCAGACTAATTCAGTTCTGCAGCTCTTGCCCGCCCCAGTCAGCCTGGTGGAACAGACAGGACGAGCAGCCGCAGGGTGCTCGATTGGCGCCAGCCCATTGCTGGGCTGCCCCACACCTCCTGCCACTGCTCTGCCCCACCTCAACAGCGCAGGCCTTGCTTGGCCTCTACAAAGTGGGCAAGACGCCTTGTCTTTACTGCACAATGTAACTTTCCACTGCAAAGTTATGGACCAAAAATCGGTTGCTTTGTACAGTTCAGTTTCTGTAAAACCGAACATGTGCATGTCTATATACAACTGGTACAAATATAATAATTACCATAAATGAGCTATTTGCTAGCTTCAAGCCAACAGCTCCTTAAAAACGAAGGATATTACATAGAGAAGATATGAGATCAACGTATCTCATACACAGATGCTGAACGTATGCATCACATTTACCTGAAAAGGCAAATGGTTTATATCACTCCTCAGTCTGCATTTGATTGAGGGTGGTTAAAAAAGCTGCTCTGCTTCGTTTTATTTTTTTAAAAAGATTCCCTCAAAATACTTGTTGTACACATCTTTAGGGCAGGGATGTTTCAAGTTTGAAGAGTCAGTTACTAAATCAGAGCAGCGGGTTTGGGTCTGTTCTTCCTTAGTCCCTGCGAGCCCTGACAGGAGAGCACTGGCGGCGGCAGCTGCTGTAGGGCTGTGGCACTTCTGTTGCACCCGTTTCCTACACACAGCCTTGCCTTGCTCACATGCTTACACCTGGGCACACATGTAGGAACACAGTCCTATTTCTAAGTAACGAAAGACCTTTTAATTTCCTGAAATATATGTATTTCCTATTTTTCTTTAGGATTACTGTGTTTTGAGACTAGAATAATAATTACTTCACTGTAAGATTAATTTTCAGTATATGAAAAAAGTAGGCATTCACCCATAAACCTGCTAAGGATTGAGTCATCACAGCTATATGCTGTTCTTTAACTTAAGACATTCCCTTATCTAAAGCATTTCAGCAGTACTGTGGAACTCTGCAGGCAGTGCTCAGCATTTCCTTTTTTATTTTCCTTTCCTCTCTAAGGAAACTGAAAGGTGTCATGCAAAGTCTGAACTGTCATAGAAGACATAATCATAACTTACCTGTTAAATCCTCCTTGTAACGGGGTGGATTATGCTACTTCGGCACGTACTGTACATATGCACATACACAGAAAGAGACTGCTAAGATATTTCTGCTTCTGAATTCTCTTAATGCCCATTCATACAAAGTGCATTGTTACATTCCCAACTTTTCTAGCATAGGCAATTGTCAATACAGAGTGAATTTAACTGGACAAAGGAATTTTAAGAAAATGTTTAATACTGGAAGGAACAGCCTTTTTAAAAAAGACTCTGTTAGAAATCCTTTTAAAGATTTCCAAGTTCTTAAGATTTTAATTACCCAAGATCATATCACTGTTATTTTAGCATTTCTATACCATTGACTGAAAATAAATAATTATTATTTGCTTTTCTTTTTCTTGGCTAATTATTTGCCAAGAGATTTAATTTTTTTCAGGTCGCCAAATGCTGCTGATCTGATGAAGATCATATCTGAACTGTTCTCTCTTCTTGGTTGTTTACAAGTTGCACTAACAAAATAGTGTAATATTTGGCATAGTGTAATTTTACTTTTCTACTGAAATACAAATGTCTTTGGTAACCACTTTAACTAATACACAAATATGCTCATTTACAACTTAAGAAATACCTGTCTGTAAAGAATCACATACTAAAGAAATCACACTGTCGAAAAAAGTTCTTATGAATATGCTTGAACATTTTAAAAAAAGAACATTCATGATTAACACACAATTAATTAGCTTTTTGAAGTTCCCGAGAATTCCCGTATGCAGTATTTCACGGACTGTGCTGAGACACCATTCATCTTGTAGGTGAGAGCCTCACAAAGTGAAAACTGGCATCGCTCTCATTAGCTCAGTTCTCTTCATCACCTTCAGTGGAAATGGGGTAATTCACACCACACAGGACTGCAAACATTTGCTTCCAAGTGTCAGTTGTGCAAACTTGCAACAATACAAGAGGTTATGAAGCTCTGTTGCTTCTAACCTGTACTTCTCTAGTACTTTCCAATTCAGTCTTCTGACACTGGTCCTCAAACGCCTCAGCACCTGCCTGCTTATCACATCCCCAGGAAGCTTCCTCATTTACCTGCTTATAAATTGAGGCGTGCAAGAGCCAAATTCTGTCAACAAACATTTCCCTCACCCCTTTTCCCTTATTTGCCACTATCTCTTTTATACAGAACTTCAGCTGACATACAAAAATGATTCTGCCTATGGTGAATACTGAACTGTGCTAACTGAAGTAACTCTCTGTTTTTGTTATTTGCCTCTTAATTATTATTAAAATTTCTAGTTTGAATTCCCACATACGCCTATAGTGCAGTGTTCTCCCAGAGGCAATGCCCGGAGAGAACTGTGTTTGCCTCCCAGAAGATGCAGACCAGGGTTCTGGCTCACAGGTGGAGACACCGGACGATGGTGCTTCCGCAGTCAACGTTGAGGACTAGCGTGCAAACCTCTCTATGTGCAGGAAATGGGCACAAAACACAGCCCCAAAACGGCAACTTGGCCAGGCAGGTAAGAATCATACCCAACATTTCAGCCAAGTCAGATTGCCATTTCAGCGAGATACCGAGCTACTGAGAGCAGTGTTACCTTTTTGCTTGATGTTAATTTCTGGGGTATTACCAATAATGAGGGCAGATCATCTAAATGACAATACCATGGGTAAAATCACATTCTGAAAAGTAAGTGAAGAACAACATGACCCTTTTTAACATGTAAATATACAATTAGAGCAGAGGAAAAAAAACACACAAATCAGATGGATTTTTCAGTGTCTCCAATCACTCCCACATATATGTTTTTCTTTAGGACATTTTTGCTCTTGCAATTTACCAGATAATTTTCACTTCTGTCTTTGACTAGCATGTTCTGCACCATGCAAGATACTACTTTCATTGTCAAGATTTGCATATCATAATCCCCTTGAGGGTAATGCTGTGTTCACTCCTTGTTTGACAAATTAATAAAAGTAGCTGTTGTGTGTAGCAATAGAAACGTTTGGAATCCTTTGTACATGTTGAAGTAACAGGACAACACCAGAGAAAGGAAAATGGAGATTTAAAAGAAGGGATTGGACAGGAACATGTTTAGATTTTGGCACACCTGTACTGTGCAAAGCAGATGGTGGTACATTTCAGATTTGTGAAACTGAATACATATATCAAATAAAATTGTTGCTTCAGGTTATGTATAAATACATAATAAACTTCCTTGTCAAAGCACTTAGCAGATCAACGATTCTCAGCTTGTAGCAGAAATAATGTCCTAGCTTTCTATCAAACAACTACTAAACACCATAAGGAGGCTTAGCAGCAGAAAAACAATGTCAGGTACAAAATGGTTCTTCCTGCCCAGTTTACTAAGAGCAGCAGCATGGCACTCTGAATTACCACCCAAACTAACCTGTGGGGTCATTCCATGGCAGATATACACGATTGGAGTATTCTCTGTGTCTGGCCCCTGATCAAGGCACAAGTCACTTTTTAGGGAATTCTGCAGCTAAAAAGAAACACAAAAAAGACAAGCACAAAGATCAAATATGTCTTAGGCTAAAGACAGGGTGTAACTGCTTACATTTCTTTGCAGAAAAATCATCTGTATTTGAGCAAGGAAATAAACTTAAAAAGACTTGTTAGAGAGAAGTCTTGCAGGAACAGGGCTCTGGAAATCCTGACTGTTCCACTTGACCCCTACCCTGGGAGCCTACCCTAGGCCCAGGAGAGAGAGGAACAAAATCCTCAAACTTTTGGTTCCCAAGCCATCAATCACTAGTCCCAACTCCACCTTCTAGCACCCCTTCTTCTTGGAAAGTCTGCTGCCAGTTCTAGATTCCTCAACTCTTTCTAACATTAAAGGTAAAGAGACAAATTTAAACACTTCGATTAGCTTTTAAAAACTAAAAACTCTTTCTATAGGCCTCAAAGAATCTAAGAGGTAAGCTACCTCCTGGAGACATTAGATTCCAGAGCCATACTAGCTCCTGCAGACATTAGATTCCAGAGCCATACACCTAACACCAAACCAGACCTCTATTATGTACACTCTAGAGAAAAATACTTATATTAAACATCAGGTGTTGACCCTGACTGGTGACAGTCATCTTTCTAACTAAGCCAGCCTTACAAAATGCAGGAAGTAAAAGGGTTGTGGAAGCTTTCATTTCCTCACACATAATCCTGCCTCAGAAAGAATGAGGTGACAAATCTACATGCTTAAAGGAAACGTAAACCATTTTCCTCTATGGACACAAAGAGCATGCAACTACCTCAAGTACACTGCTTTGGTAAGCTGTGAAATTGGATATGATATCCAATGCATAGTTCAAGTGAAATAGTTTAGAATAGTGTAAATAAGCATGCATCCCCCCAAAACAATGGTTTTAAATGAGCAAATGCAAGCTATGGGGTGATAAACAGAAACAGGAAAGCGGATGTACAGAATCCCGCAGCAGGAACTGCAGCTGCACAGCAGCTGCTGTCAACTACCCAGATGAACAACTGAACAAGAGATTGCATGTTTATGTTATTCTACTTGGAACCAGGCATTTACGCATTTGCTATTACACATTTCCCCCCACCTTTTTAAATTAATAAATGTAAGCAAGATCCTTACCACCCCATAGGCAACCGTATCGGAATACATCCTCATTTCTGGGTAGACGCTGACAAGGTACCATCTGAAGGTCTTGCACTGGAGCTTCTTCCTCAAGGCCTTCCTCTCAGAAATGTCCCCAATATCAATCCCAGAGTCCTGCGCATGGAACAAACGGCAGAAAACACAACACGTCATTGGTAACAGCTACTTCTGTGTAAACCTATCACCCAGAGTCTCTCTATTCTTCTGACCGCTGCTAATAGATACTCATCTCTAATTCCCAGCCTTTGGTTATTAAGTGATTCTGTTACCAATATACTTTCTGCAAGTGCTCTATTTAAGCATGATTTATACCAATGAGTTATGCAGGTCACCATTGCGGGGTCTCATTCATAGTCTGTTTTGGTCAATGGAAACACCGCTATTGACTTCATTAGAGCTCAGATCTAGTTTCCAATGAATATAACTGTTGTTCCCCAATTTCCTGGCATTTTCCAAATGCAAAAGTAATTGGCAGTAGGTAGCAAGTTGCCCTGGAAACAAGCTTATTGTTGGCATCCCACTGTGGCCTAATCGTTAGTGCACTGCACTTGCTGGCCGTTTTGGGTTCCGTGCTTCACTGCAAAGAGCAGTGCGCAGGAGTGCGCAGCAGTGCACAGTGCAGAATCTTAATCGTATTCTCTTTTTACAGTTCTAGTTAACCTAATTTCATGTGACATACTTCTTTGCAGATGATAAAATGTGAGTTTCATAAAGTTCCTGTATATATAAATCAGTAATTTATCACATTAAAATTCTGCAGCAGAAATTTTTTAAACGGGCATCTAAGTGCAAATCCGTGGCTGCCATTTAACAGGGAGTAAATGAGACAATTTGCTCTGTGTTGCACTCCTAACACTTTTACCTCCACTTTTACTAGGTTTTTACAAAACCTGGGATAAATGCACTCTCATAGGGAAATCTTACCATCCACCTACTTACAGCGCAGACTTTACTGGGTCATAAATGCCCCAAAGATTTTGTCAGCCACCAGATACGAGACTGTCAAATAACAGTGAAGCACTCAAGTCTCCTGGCTCTGTGTGAAGGACAGTTTAGAAGTATCTAGTTCTCATAGCTGCTGAAGCAAAGACTGCTTGCTGCATCCCAAAGCATTTAATTTACATTAATCTGAAACAAGTGCATCTTACTATGGGGGCACTTCCTGACTAGTGTTAGGGCTGCGGTTAAACACTGCAAAGGGCTCATGTGTAAGTGCTGGTTCTGGAACATCTGACAGGGGAGCCCGCATCTCCTCAGCACGTCCTGCAGCAACGAGCAGGTAACAGCGAGGCTCAGGCTGCACAGGCCTGAGGCAGCTGTGTGAAAACAAAGCCACTTCCCAGGGTGTTTTAAACAGTATCCTTGCTTTCAACAATGGCAAAAAATAAACATGAAGACACTTTATGCTCTGTACCTATGCAGAGCAGCAATTTTTCCCTAAAACAAAGATATTTCATAGGCTGCCACTATATTAAAAGCTGATTTAGCCCTTTTCATCTTCTCAAAGGTTTTGAAGTGTGTTCTAGTGTTCAATAGCAATAGCCTTTGTGGAGATGGAAAGAGAAATCATCTGCATTACAATTTATTCATGCAGGTGAGTGCAATGACCAGTGAATTTGAAGAAGGGGAAAAAAAGAAAAGAGACTACAGATTGAAAAAAATATTTTTTTTTTCTTTTTAAACCTGCAAATAAAAATGAGTTTTAGCAATACCAGACTTACCATGAAAATACCTTGATGGACATGGTAACCTGAAGAAATCACTTTAATTACAAACCTCATCTATATTTCATTTGATAAATCAGTTTTAAAATTTACTATAATAAGCTTACATTTTTCAGATGTATCAACATATTCAAGGCAGCATTACTTAACCAGTAGCAAACAATAAAAATTTAGCAGACCACACAGGACTTTTTTTCTTGGCACTTTCATAGTATATTGTGTGGCTAACACACTTCTTTTTTCCAACCTGAAAATGGAGTTACAACTTCCCCATTCTGCCATAGTTATCTAGCTTTAACCAAAGGGGATGGAGGAAATTACTGAGGAAGTAATTTTTCCCCTTTTAGAACTATAAATTGCAGCAAAACCAGTGATTTTACTTTTTTTTTTTTTTTTTTAAGAAAAATAGCCCATTTGTTCAGACTAGAATAAACTGCTTTTGATATAATGATGAGCATGAGAACTGCAGACTGCAAGTCAAAACTCAAATTCATCTACTGGCTTGGTTTCCAGTCTCTTAGGGTAGGCAGATCCCTGAATATTTTCCAGAAAGAAGTACAAGATGATAGTCAGATTTCTCAGAGCTATGAGCAGCACTTCATAGATTAAATACTACTGACTACAGAGAAGAAGAGCATCTAGAATCAGCTGCCAAACCAAACACTCAGGTTTCTCATCCTACAGTACCTTTCTATTGTTAGGAACCACACACGGCTCACCTATGGAAAAGAGAACTGGAGAAGCAGGTCAAAAGAGAGTTGCAGCCAGACTCCTGCAAGATGTTATGGCATACACCAGCCACTCTTATTCTGGTACGAAGTTATTCAAGAACGATACAATCACATTTGTACCACTAGATATGCACATCCCTTACCCCTTGGTAAAACTGACCTTAATAAATTTGCATTTTAGACAAGTCTGACTTAGTAAGTGTAATATGGATAGGTTGTTTCTATTTTTTACATTCCTTCCACTACTAGCTTAAAATCTCCTTGCAGTGTATCAACCTTGCATGAGGTTGGTAGGAAATGAATTTAATAAGAAAACCCCTTTTGATGAAAAAAAGTATTATTATTTGTTATTATTTATTATGAAAAAGTAAATATACACACACATATACATGTATGTATAGACATACTTACATACATATATGCACATACGTATAACAAAATAATTGCAGAAAACCCAACTGCAGAAGAGCAGCCAAAGCCCAAGGGTCCAGAGGCAGAGCCTGCAAGCCCCAGTGTCCGTGACTCACCTCCTGGGGCACGTTCCAGGCCATGTACACGTGGCTCTTGAACTCATCCATCCAGACTTCGGCCACCCGTAGCGCGTTTCTGCGCACGTGAGCAGTTAGATCTTCCGTGTATGGCTTATGGGCTCGTTCAATGTGGGCAATCCTGGAGCAAGGCAGAACCTCAACGCTGCCTCCACACTGCCACACCTACAGGGAGGGACAGACACCCTACAGGTCAAAGCTCTGCACACCGCTGCTGTCTGACAGTACATACATGGAAATCTTTTTATTTATCCAGCCTAAGAATAACAACTCCAAGTCTACTCAACTATAGAGATTTTTTTTTATACAGTTTTGAATTATTACAAGGAATTTTTAACTACCTTACCAAAGATTTACCACCTTAACAGTAGCCTGTGAACAAAATTTTCCTGAATCAACTTAGCCATCTTCTATATTATTAATAAAATAATGTACAAGGCACGTAAGGATTCAAGTTTTAACAGCTTGCAGACATAGCTCTTAGATCCTGCGTAGTCCCCATCACCACATAGATTAGTGCAGAATCCAGAACTAGCCTCTGATGACAAGGAAACTAAGCCAATGCACAGTATAAGGTCACCAAACTTTCAGGCTTTAGGAAGACCAGGAAAATAAATATCTAGAATCATAGGATCCTTAAGACTGGAAGGGACCTCTAGAGGTCATCTAGTCCAACTCCCCTGTGCACACAGGGTCACCTAGATCATGTGGCACAGGATTGTGTCTAAGTGGGTTTTGAAGATCTCCAGAGAAGGAGATTCCACAACCTCTCTGGGCAGTCTGTTCCAGGGCTCTGTCACCTTCACCGTCAAGAAACTTTTCCTTAAGTTCCTGTGGAACTTTTGGTGCTTCAGTTTGTGGCCATTTCCTCTAGTTGTTTCAGTGACCACCACTGGAAACAGGCTGGTCCCATCCTCCTCACTCCCTCCCTTGAGGTATTTATCAGATACCTCTCAGCCTTCAGGCTGAACAGGCCCAGCTTATGCTTTACTTTAAACATAGCTCAGAAAGGAATCAGATTTTTTTGAGGAGTGCAAAATAATATGATTTTCTAGTGAACAATTTCTCTAAACAATTTCAACATATATTACCGTTACAAGTGATAGTCACCTACATTATATACGTATTATCCTAACTGCTCAAGTGTAATTTTGTTTTAGGATCACAGTTGACCTAGTGCATACTATGTTCATCCTGAGTATTTCTGATTTCTCTTTCTGCTTCCAGCTAAACAGAAAACCGCTTCAGCAGGCTCAACAGTCAGTGAAGTAGCTCAGCTCTTTTACACAGAAGCTCTCTTCTCTGTTCATCTAGTATTATGTAGACAAGATCAAGACAGTACAATCATAATAGTTTAGCGAATGCTGTGCAGGTAAAACCCCAATGTGTTCAAGCTGTTTAATCCTGGAGAACAAACACCACTTTGTCTCAGAAAGACACTGCACTGAGAAGCAGGGGCTTGGCCTTACGCTGCTGCTAAGGGAGGTTCCGATAGTTGGTATCCTACAGCAGAAGAGCCCAGGAGGAGAGCACGGGCACTGCTCCCTGCTTCACTGGGCCCCAGGGACTGCGCGCTCAGCTCCCTCCCGTGTGGCACAACGTCGCGCCTGGGGCCGCGCTCCGGCCTTCCTATAGGCACATGCTCTGCTACGGAGGCACTGTGCTCAGTCATTCATTTTATATATTTAGACATCTGGCTTGAATACAGCGTTTAGGCATTTGGCAGCTCCTGAGAGCAGAAGGATGTGGCATGGATTCAGGATGTTTACAAAGCCGCTACTGAACTGCTGCCTAATTGCAAGCAACATATGCTGGGTGAAGAGAGCGAGCCCGCTTGTGTGGAGCTCTCTGCAGGATGAGCTATCCCAGGAACCTACTGTAAAATCAAGGATGGGGCTGCAGAGACTTCAGCATGGCTCTGTCTCAGAAATTTAGAATCCCGTAAGAGTAAATAATCAGAACTGATATCAGAACAAATCTTAGAAGATGATCACAAATACTGGGAATGGAAACGCTGACAATGATCACAGATACTGGGCAATGGAACTGGCGTAAGAACAAATAATTAGCTGAAAGTAGTATCTGTGTTCCTTCTAAATCTCAGATAATGCGATCAATCCAGGTTAAAGAGCTAAGAAAAAATACTAGTTTCTCAAAGATTTAATTCTAAATATTTCAGCTACATTTCTTAATAAAGATTAAAAATTAAGTATCACTAGCCTGGGCTCGCACAATGCCTGCCTGCAATGCAAGCCATTTGTCAGTACAGCATTGGCATCTAGCAAAAAATTGTTTCAGAGTTATTCCCTGTACACTGGTAACTCCTAACATGAAAAAAACGACGATGTAGAGATGGACATAACACAGTGCATAACAAGGCCATCCACAAACTGCGTGCTCTGCTATTCTGCCCCTCTTTGCTCTCTTTCACTATGGATGGTCCTGATCCAAGTCTGACATGTAAGCACTAAAGCTTCCGTGAGGACTTCACAGTGAGATCTGAACCCCATCTACACAACAAGTCGAGCCTAAAGATTCATTGCCTGTGATAAGCTGAAAGCATATGTCCAGGATCTGAATTTGAGGAGTGAACTCATCTATTATTTTAGTACTTATTCAGTAATTGGTAAAATCTAGTTCGACTTTTTAATGAAGTTGTATTTTCCAAAAACATCCCCAAATGACAAAGTCTTCAGTAGTTTGGAAACAACCATTATCAGTACCCAGGTAATTTCCAATTAATCAAATCTGTGGTCAGCCCTTTTCTCTCAGACAATGTCAGTCTGTGTTTGGTTTCTAAAAACTAATTAATTACTCTTCAAGAAGCAGGGATTCACTTAAAAATGAATGCTAAGAGGAATCTGTCAATACAGATGCTGGCAGAACAGGTTGCTTATATGGAACAGCCTCTAAAACAAATCCTGTTATTCATAAGATAAACTCTTCTGCAACCCATGAAAGCATGACTAGCATACTGCAAAAGAGGTCTAGAGGTATATGCTAATAGTTTCCATACAGCAAGTAGACTATAAGTCATTCATGATTCTTTTCAGGAGGAAGAAATGAGAAACAACCGTGCTATGAAGATAAGGCCATCAGCTCCAGTTAAGCTGTGCACGGAGCTCGCAGTCATGGCGTGGAACAAGCTGCTGGAGCCGGGCTGCAGGCTGCGGAGCCCCGGGGAGCTCTGGCAGCGCCAGGGGAGGGGCTCCTGCGCCGCAGGGCATGGGACACAATCCTGACCGGCTCCCTGACTGCCCGGGAGCCTCTGCCCGCAGGGCTACAGCGGGGCAAGAAAGCGCTGTTGTCTAAACCCTTCACTGCGCTCCCGGGAAGCCACTTGTCAAGATAAATAATGGCAGGGAGGCATCATGGCAGGATTTTCTAATTTTCAAAAAGTATTTTTTACCACATAGAATGGTTCGAAGTACAAAACTGTATCTCAAAACTAACTGCTGCAATCAGAAATACTTAATGATCCATCTGCTTAAACACATTGAAAGAAGAAACTGAAAGGACACATTTCCTAAACTATATGTTAAACAAAATATACCATCTTTCCTTTTTAGCCATGAAAAATTTTATACCTGTGCTGTAAAGAGCTGAAAATTGCTAACGATACCACCTCTTTCCTGCCAAATATCTAAACATATGTTTACACTTATCAAAATAATGCATGATTTGAACACCACAATACAAGAAATAATGGAAATACATATTTTGTTCTGCAAAGGCACAAATTGCAAAGTTATACCAATGGGGCTGGACTTTGTTTTTTTGCCTGAAGGCAGAATCCTTAGGAAGCTTTCAAGGGTGAGGGAGCGCATACCTTTAAAGTCCCTGGAGCAACCCCAGCAATGTAGGTGCTTTTCTTCAGAGGAATTTCTTTTGGGTTCTGTCCTGCTGGTTTACTTAGCAAACACAATCTTTCAGCAAACACAAACTGGAGTTGCCTTTCAAAGCGCTGTCAGAATCTACTTCACTGCTCTCAATGCTCTCCTCTAACCTTACAACAAGCTGCTTATTCTTGAATTTTCCCCAGGGGGCTCGTACATTTGGTAGAGCCTCCTCAAGGACTTAGAAAGCTTCCCTCTTGACAGAGTTCCTGCATCCCTTTCAAAACAGGAGTAGAGCTCCAAAAGAAATTTCAGAGGTGCAAAGCAGCAGGAATAGCAGCTAGGCAATTTCTACCACCTATGAAGTTGAAAGACTGAAACTGGCAGTGTGTGTGACCTCAACTAGAGAAAGCAAGTGGAAGATGACAGGAACATCAAATGGATACTGAGTCCATGGAAAAAGCATAGGGAAGGAGCGTCTCTCTTTTTTAAATCTTGTTACAAGTTACGTGGAGAACTTGGCCAAGCTCTAGGCACTGCTTACCACTAACTTACTGAGCATATATTTTACATGTAAGGCACAACCGTGTCCCTATGTCTGTGAATTTATGTGCAGCAAGGCTAATGCAGTCATGGAGAGCAACTTCCTTAATTCAGAAAACATGTTCCTTGCCACCTGTCACTACAACCCACCTAAAACAGGCCAAGAAGAGACTGATAGCAGGGATCTCTTAGTGTGGGTTTTACAAAATGAGGATAAATTACTAAGCTCATGAAAGAGGCAATTAGACAGACAGACAGCATGAGATTTCCTTGGACAGCTTCCATGAGAGGGACTTGGTGTAAGATCACAGTGTGAACTATCGAGTACGCTCCACCCCAGTGACCATGCCTGAACCAAGGGGTATGTAAGCACACAGACGGATGTACCTACAGCAGTGCCCGAGTGCAGAGGCAGAACCAGCACAGACACAGTCACAGGAACGAAGACCAGACGAGAGCCCAGGGGGCAGGTGGCAGCAGGGTACACAAGCCGTGAGCTCCCTGCCCCTGAAGGGCTGAGGCTGCAGGCACTGGACTCACCAGTGAACGGCCCCCGCGGCCAGCGGGATGCAGCGGATCCTGCAGAGGGGGCGCCCCGGCTCACAGCCTGCCCCAGCTCTGCTGCCACCCCTACTAGGGCAGGAACGACGGCATCATAGAGGCACCAGGCTGAGCACAGAGGGGGACTGACATCTCCCAGTATTCAGCTGGATTAATCTGGAGGTAATTTTTTCCAAGGAAATTCCATTCACATCTGAAGAATCTATTTCATTAGATAAAGCATCT